AATTCCAGAAGATCCATATTTTGTTGGTAGGGGAGGTATCATAGGAGTTGTAACCAAGTTTTAGAAGGTAGAAGGATATTTTGATGCTATTGACAATAGGTTCAAAAACTGCAATGAAAGGGGGGGAGAAGGTTTTGGTTAGGGATTGGAGCCTTGTGATAGAGGATGCAATCCCACATGCATTCCAAAAGAGAAGGATCATTTGGGGATTAAGGGAGGTAAAGCTCCTTGGCCACGACACTGGCTTCTCGTTTGGACGCCACTTGGTGGGAACACTCTCTTTTTCCTGGTCCTCCTAGGGGTGAGGGAGACCTGTGCACATTTAAGTGTTGGTTTAAGGATGAAGGGTTCAAGGTTTCCTTTGATGTATGGTTCATCATCCCCTTCAGAGTGGCAGTGGATGTCCAGTTCCTCCTCACTGTCACAGACAGTGTCATGCAATGGGAAGCCAAGATTATTGAGAATAGTAGTGGTTGGGTCATGGTTAATAACCTCTAGGGAGGTGGTGTCGTCCAGACTGCCAGATGGGAGAGTAGGGGTTGGGTCAAGGTCCATGAGGTTAAGGAGCTCAGAACAAATGTTGGGGGTGGTATTGGGATGAACAATGGATGTGATGTGGGGTTTAGGGATTAAGCTGGCAGATTGACTAGGGGTGGGGGATAAGGGTGCGAGTGTTTGGTTTAAAGTGGGAGAGTGAGCTGTATTTTTGGATGTACCAGCTTGGCATATATTTGCAGCAGGAGGGTTTTGACTGGGGTCCTTAATTTTCCAGTAATGCACAGGGACTGGGCAAGTTTGGGGCTTTTGTGTTGGATGTTTCCTCTTGACTATAGTCCAATCTAAATCTCCATTTGCCACCATCGGTGTGTCGCCGGTGTGGACTTTTCCGGCAACAAATCGTTTTTTGCAAGGTGATTCCTTGTGGCCTAAAAGCTTGCAGGTACGACAGAAATAAGGGGGCTTTTCAATGGTTAAGGGAAGATTAAAGTCTCGTGCCCCTAGCCGAAGGTGAATGGCCTGTGGGACTGGGTTGGAGAAATCAATTTCAATACACATTCTGGCCCTGCTGGTGTTTTTGCCAAATAGGGTTCGTTCATCTGGTTTGATGGGTCTACCAAGACAAGAGGCTAGGGTGTAAAGGGCCGGTGGGTGAAAAAGGTGGAGAGGGACATTGAAGATAGAGACCCAAACAGGGATAACAGGGCAATCTGTGCTAGAGGAGTAATCAGGAGACCATTTGAAAACATAAAAATCTGCCTTGCCAAACTTCCATGTTCTACGCAGAAGGAACCTCTGATAATCATGTTCAAATTGGAAGATGAAGAGTGTGTCATACCTTGATAGGGGTTTGATTGAGAACGCCTTGAATCCTATGGAGTGGAGGATTCTGTGGAGATCATTCAATGGAGGAGAGATGTTAGACCTACCCACAACAGCGTACTGGAGTTCTTGCGCAACATGCTGCTCCTCTCCTGTGAAGACAACCGAAGGATTTCCATTCCTCAGTCCAACGACTTTTCCAATTTGTGGCATAGCTGGGAAGAGTTCTGAGAATAGTTTTTTCTTTTCAGGATGGTTGATGTTGTTCCTTGGTTGGTGTTCCTTGGTTGGTTGCCTAGCCGGAGCAGTCGCCGGAAAATGTCTCTCTCCCATCTTCTCATTCATATATATATATATATATATATATATATATATATATGACTATAAAAGTTATTTTTATTATTATGATTAATGTTACCCGTTGAAATGAAAAGGAAAGTCTTAGATTCTAAGAGTGTCTGAATGACACAACTCACGTGTTCAACCATTGTGTTCTGACACAATCTAAAGTCTTCTTTTAAATGAAAGGTAATATGAAAGCAATTCATATATTATAAGCTTCAAATGCACTCCTACTTTGATGATAGCTAGACATGTGGCTGACATTATTTTATACATGCATAGAAATTTATACGTTCTATACTTTAGGTACACACATAGTTATTGCAATCATAATCAAAAGTGATGTGTTTCTCGCAAGTTTTCAATATGCACACTTACTTTGATGAGTACTCGTTGACATAATTAAAGATATAATGGAAGTAAATATTTAGTTATGTAATTATGTTATGTACACTGAATGATTTATGGACCTACGTTCAAGATCTCTTCGCATACTGTTTATCCCAAAGGAACCAGACTTTTTCTGGCTTAAACTGTCATTAGTGTTGCAGTTATGATTAATAGATTTTACTTTTATTAATATAGGTTTATAGAAAGAATGGTACTGCTAGAATGAAACTTTGGTGGGAGCTGTTAGCAAGATTTGACAAGGTAAGCTGTTAACACATCATGGCTATAAATATTACTTAAAATTATGAGCAGATAAGATTTTTTATTACTTGCTTAAATTCTAAAGCCAAACTAGACAATTAACGGTCATTTGTGATTCATGGCTACAACTAATGATTTCAATTATAAGCATATTTAGATTTCCATGTAAGAGGAATATATATGTGCATTGCAAATATGTTTAGCCAGATGATTAAATGATACTAGTATAGTACTCTAAAAGAGTACTTCGATAGACATGGAATTGGAACAAATTAATGTAACTTTTATGTGTTGGCACACCAAAAGCACATACTGTGTTTCCATATACCTAGATAAAATAGTTACTTTCCGTCACTTTATACTAGGTATTTTCCAGGTGAAAAAATTGCTAGCAACTTCAAGTTTTACTCTAATAGAACCTGAATTCAAAAGTGAAGCTAGAACTTTAGGAAACTCGTTATGTTTTAAAACCAAGAGTTTTTTATCATATAACTGACTCACATATATGAATATACTTTCAAAGATAATTTTGAAAGTTGTGGAATTTTACACATCAGTTGGTGCATTTGAGTGGAATATTACTCTATTTGGCTTTTCTAGCAGAGGAAAATACTTCCATTATTTTATACGAGTGGTTTGAGATTGTAAGGCACTTATAAAACATAGTATCATTCTCTTTTATGGGTTCATATCAAGACAACACACGACAACAAAATATTTGAAGCATTTAATGAAAGAAAAGTAGGCTCAACATGTTATATTTCTTGTAGCCGCTTCCTTTCTTTTAATGTGCTCTACAATTTGGTCAATTGCTGCACATGCTTTGACAGCATTTTTGAAAATGGGTTCCTGGCATTCAGCAGAAGAATATAATCTCAAGGTCATACTCTTACTCCTACTTAATAACAATAGAAGTTTAATTTCTTTGTTTGTTCTAAGGTGTGATTTCTCCTGACCATATGTACTACCTATAATTATAAAACTTTTAACTTCTATTGATTGGGCAGTATGAGTTAGTCTACTGTAACATGATGATCAATTTGGGTAGTCATTATCGTCACAAATTGTTGATGAAAAAGTATTGAAATAAGCAAATAAGGGTCAGACACATTTTATTTGGAAACAACAATGAAAATATTGATGCTCATCACATTATTTTTGGTTATGTTTACACTCATGCTGAAACATCTGCTTTTCTTCGGGAGTTGACTCTTAAGTCTATGTTGGGTTGGCACCTAAGCTATGTGAATAATGTAATCCATTCATTCTATATTTATATAACCTTCATTTGAAGTTGGCATGCTTTTGCTGAAAATAAAGGAGAATTTTGTTGTTTTACTAATTTAACCTTATTAATAAGAGAACAAATGTAATATGGGCCACACAAAAAGTAGAAGGATGGAATGATAGATGGATGTAAAAATTCAATGAGATTTAAATAAGGAAATACTCCCAACATCTTTAGCAGAAGAATAATCTCAAGGTGATACTCTTAATCCTACTTGATAACAGCAGATTGTTTATTCTAAGCTGCGATTTCTCCTGTCCATATGTACTACCTTTAATTGTAAAACATTTATCTTCTAATGATGGGGAAATATGAGTTAGTCTACTGCAACATGTTGATCAATTTGGGTAGTCATTATTGACAAAAAATGTTGATGAAAAATTATTGAAATAAGGGTCAATATATACACATGTTCTTTTAGATTCGGTGTTGGTAACTTTTAATTCGTTCATTGAATAAATATTCGCTTTTGTTTGCTAGGCAGTTAAAACTTTCAGAGGTGGCCCCGAATCAAGAGTTGTAGGCCTCGAGATTGGAATAATCATATACTTACCATAGGTGGGATGGATAGTGTGCTTTTTGAGAATGAGATCTAGGTGAGATCACATATACGATACATCATGGACTGCCTTCCCTTTTTCCAACTCCACCCCCTCAAAACACACTTCCATGCAGTGATAGGGAAAAAACACGAAAGCAAGCATTGGATAAATGGGGTGGAAAACCTGATGTACTTGTGGGCTGAGCATAGGTTTCTTAAGGATCTCAAACAAGCTGAGTATCAAAGCATTACCCCTGATGCATTTGTGTTAAACGGGTATGCACCAATGCATTGTATGTATATATTCTGTATGCGTACTTTGTATTGACTCATTGGTTAATAATTTACATCTTACCTCTGAACCCTGCACAAGAAACTACAAAATAATGAAAAACTAATTTCAAGAACAAAGGATGCATGCCACTTCTAATTTATTGCTAGGGATATTATTTCTCCACAATTTGTATTCTTGTTACCATTAATCTTATTTAGTTTTTTCATTGCTTTACAATATGACTTTCACATATTTCTGACCCTAATTTTAAGACAATATTTATAAAATATTCAAACAATATTTTTATAAAATATTTATAAAATGGTTAATAATGGGTAAACAGTATTTTATAAAATTTTCAAACAAGTATTCACAACAAAAAATCTTGCAAAAAACATGATCGGGCACTTAAACCTGCGCAACGCGCGTGCAATTGCTAGTATATATGTGTGTGTGTGTGTGTGTGTGTGTGTGTGTGTATGTATGTATGTATGTATGTATGTATGTATGTATGTATGTATGTGTGTGTGTGTGTGTGTGTGTGTGTGTGTGTGTGTGTGTGTGTGTGTGTGTGTGTGTATGTGTGTGTGTGTGTGTGTGTGTGTGTGTGTGTGTGTGTGTGTGT